GTGTGGTCAGGTGGTGATGGACACTGTGGCTGATGTGGGTGTGGTGCCCGCAGGAGCTGCTGAGCTTCTCGGAGGAGGACATCCGGTCGCTGGGCGTGCGCAACTCAGCGCATCGCGCGCGCGTCGTCTCCAGCCTCGTGGCGCTGCGTTCCAAGTACGACAAAGGTGAGTCCTCGCTGTTCAATTATTTTTTTGGCACACTCTCTAATTTTCTGGCACACTCACTCATTTTTGCTCACTAATATTCGTGGCACACTCGCTCATCTTTTGCAGACTCGTTTTTTTGGAAGACTCGCTTATTTTATTGCACACCCACTCACTTTCTGGACACCACTTTTTTTGCACACCCGCTCAGTTTCTTGCACATTCAGTTACTTTCTTGTACACTCACTCATTGTATTGTGCGACCTCACCTTTGATTTCACTGACCATTCGTAGTATGAAAAGCGTATAGTAAGATCTTTGTATGTGTGTATTTGGCATTGTAGAGTAAGATTAATCCGAGTTTGGCAAGCTGGCGGAGTTCCCAAGCCTGGAGCCTATTTTTATTTGTTATCCACGCTAATGTATTCACCGTATCCAGCGTACTTGGCGTGGCTGAGCTTTTTCTTTCGTCAAAAATAAACATGCGATTATATTAGAAAGCTGCAGCTCTATTTTTGCCCGACACGGAATCGCACCACGGAAATCTAGAACATTGCCCATGAGTCACCCGAGGGACATATATAGTAAGGTTATTTAGTAATTATTCACCTCATTGGGTCACTGAATTGCAAATAACGGTTGTAAGTACGTAAATCGAGGCGATAGTAGATGTTTAAAACCAATCAAATCTATTGTTTTTTTTTTCGATATTACCTGAGTATTGTTCATGGTGTAAGAGGGTAATTTTGTGTTTCATTTGGCTCTATTATGATTTCGTTTTCGATTTGATCTTCTTCGTTTCTAATTTTTTTGTAAATGAATGTGTCTTTTTATAAGTGTTCTTCTGCCGTCAGATATTGCGTAAATACCTGTTCCGCTCCTCAGTCCATTTTTTTCTTGAGCGACCTCAATTTTTATTCCTAGGGGCATATATTTCATTACATTTTTTAAAAATTTTCCATCGGTCATTGTTTCTACGCGTCCTTTCCATTTTTGGTTTTCTTCTATGAAAGGTCAAAGGGAAAACCTTGAGTTCATTTCGTACGTCAATATTTCTTATTCTATCGAGACTAGTGCAGCCTTTAACAGATCTCAAGACACTCATCCTCGCTGCCTGCACTTTTAGTTTCTTTATTACGTTCTCAAGTTCATTAAAATTTATGTAATTTATTTTCTGTCTTCATCCCAATCATAAGAACAATTACAGCTTACGTTATTAACAGTTTTTAAAGTTTAAATGTTTTTGTGCGTTTTATAAGAATGAAAACGATGAAAAAAGTAAGTAACCGACGGGTCACACTATTCTCAACAGAGACATCACCATCAATACTGGGGGACGCGACGTTGATTGTCAGCGGCGGAGGCCTTGGACCCGGCGACCACCCGGGTCTCAAACCCGCGACCGGTCACGCTTCGCCGCACCTCACTCCGCCCACCCGCGGTGTCGCGCCGTCCCCCACCCCCCACACGCTCAAACCGAAGAAACAAAAAAGCAAAGGAAAAACACGAAACTCATCCCGTGCGACGCGACGCGACGCGATGCAACGCAACGCAATGCGACGCAACGCAACGCGACGCAACGCAACGCGACGCAACGCGACGCAACTGCTCCGCCGCGAAATTTCATCCATCCGATATTTGGTATTGGTTCCAATAATGGAACGGAGATGTATATCATTTCATACTGTCGGTTTCTGAAATGCTTTGCCATTGTAGCGTATTGAATAAACACAACTAATTCCAAGTTCAGAAGTTCATAAACAAATTCAAAATTAACTTATTCAATGACGATTAACTACGTGAGTACATGGTTAATCGTTATTGAAGAAATAGATTTTGATCTTGAATTGTGTTCATTTACTAAACTACACTTCACTTTAACGACGTATTTAATACACTTCACTATTTTACAATAGACTATAAAAATCAAATATTTGAATAATGTTCCGCAACGCCAGAATTTGGTTCAGTCTTCCTGCTTTCTAGATTGCAGCTTCAAAGAGATATTATGAGACGAAGCGAGGCATTAGTTCAAAAAGATATCCATATGTCGCATTTCAAGCAAGCAGGTTCTCTGAGAACGGAGTAGAGCCCACCTCGTCGATTAACTTTGCAAAAACTACTCCCCTACATGTCCGATTTAATTCAAACCACTCTGTAAACACGTCCTTTACTATTGAGAACAAACTGTGAGAAATTCAGCGAAAGCAGTCGAGTAGGTTTTGCGTCTATATGCGACAGATATACGCACATTCCCTTTTATTTCCAGGTGGAAGATAAAGATTTAAACATTTTAGAAGACTTTTAGTCAATTATATAGTCATAATTCAGTTGAATTATCATAAGCATTTTATAATTTTATGAATATTATAAATGAAATAAGTGGAAAAGGGTATGCCTTTTCTCTGGGACAATACTACAGAGTAATCACTTAAGTGCCATATTTGGAGCAAAAGACGCGTTTTAAATGTAAGTACAAAAAAACAGCTTGTCGGTAACATCGATATTGATTACACAGCTTTGCTCTGAATATCGCAATATAAGCTATTCAATAACATAAACACCGACTCTAGGAATAACAAAAACCGACGTATGTGTTCTGTTCGTAGTATTAACATCCCAACATACTCGTCGCCATCCAGCACTCCTCTACTCAACTGCCTCCTTTACTTGAGCCCTTGCTAAATCACTCCTTTCACCAGTGTACTCATTCGCCCCCTCCCCTTGCCTTCTGTACATATGTCCCTTTCCCCTTCTTACTAAACCGCTTTCTTCACTTTCGCCTCGTAGTCAGTCGCCCTCTAACTCCCTATTCTTTCTAACTCAGTCGCCACTTACCTATTCCCCCGTGTGCAGCCGCCTCATTATCTCTGACCTCAACAACTCCCTCTTCTCCCACTTTGCCGTTTGGCAACCTACTTACCTCCACACTCACCACATCTTACCAATCTTCCAACCGCTCCCTTGCCACCATGCTCCATGACCTCTCACCACGTGCTCAACGCAAGCCTTCGCACTTCGTCCCTGACCTCCTGCACATCTGCACCTTTCGCCTATGAATTCGAGTACCTACCGTTTTGGCTCAAGCTGAACCGCCTTTCTCATCACCGTTCTAAACCGCCCTCCTTCCTGACCCCCTGTAAATTCGCACCCTGCATCCACTTATTCAACCATCTCTTACACATTGGATCCACCTCAACCCCCCTCTCACCATCATGCCCACCCCCCACCCCTGGCCTCCTGCACACTCGCACCCAGAAACTGCTCATTCAACCACTTTCAACATTTTGTAGACTGCTCAACTGCCCCTTTCAACATCGTGCTCAACAATCCCTAACCCTTACCTCTTGCACATCCCCATCATTCACCCACATATTCAACCATCTCTCACACATTGGCTCCAGCTCAACTGCCCCCTCTTCACCGTGCTCAACCGTCCCCGTCCCTTGCCTCTTCCACGTTCGCACCTGCCCCTTCCACATCCGCACCTTTCCCCCGCATATTCAACCACCTCCCACACATATCCAACCATCTCCTGCACACCCGGATCCTGCATCCACTTATTCAGGCATCGCCAGCATTTCGCATCCTGCTCAAGCGCCCGCTCAACATCGTGCTCAACCGTCCCTGACCCTTGCCTCCTGCACATCCTTATCATTCGCCTGCGTATTAGACCGTCTCCCTCCCATTCGCTCCATCTCAACATCCTCCTCACCACCTTGCTCAACTGCCCCATCTCTGGTTCGCCGCACATCCATACGCTTTGCCGCCGCATATTCGACCCATTTTCCACGAAGTTGGCACATCTCAACCGGCCTACCATCCCTTGCCTCCTGCAACATCCCCAGCCTCGCCCGGCATGTTCAACCACCTCCGCACTTTGCCTCTGCTGCAAGTGCCCCCTCTCGTCTTCCCTCCGCCGCCGCCTCCCCGCCCTGCCCGCTGCGTGAGGGCGCCGGCGCGCCATGTCACTGTCAGCGTCCGCTAATCCCCCGCCATTCGCCGCGCATTTTTATGATGCGCAATTACGTCCGGCTATTTAATATTCTGCGAATGTATTACCTGGCTGGCTTAGTCGTTGACACCGTTATCTATTGGACATCGACCTTAGCCGCTTTCCTGGTGAAAGTCCGCTTCTCGCGTGCCGTGCTTACGGCGCGCCGACTCGCCCGGTGTGAGTGTGAACGACCCGCTTCGCGAAATTCTTTTAACAAAGCACTCGCGAAAAGGTTCGGTCGGTAAAAGATGCGTGATGAGGGGTTGTTGTGGGTGATTGTCGCTGTCCGGGGCATGAGGCAGTTCTGGGGCCGTTTTGGCTAATAGCCTATTAACCTATTGTGATTTGTTTTACAACTCATATGCTCGTGTTCGTTCTCTACTTTCGCTCTTTTTTTTTTGTGCTGTTTTCGTTTGAACCTTGCGCTGTCTCTCATGGTTTACTGGCTACGTTGCAACATTGTTACTTCTTGCAGGATCGTTGACGTACATAACGGTTCAGCGGTGGCCATTTGCGAACAAGCTACAAAGGTAGCGTCTAATCCAGCAAATTGTCTGGGAGACTTCTAACGGCACTAGTCTGAACGATATTATCTGCAGTTTTTTGATAAACCAACTCGAATACCAAAAACAGTAATTATAACAAATGCAGGCCACTAACAAGCGCGCGATCATTCCTTCACCTTCTGAAGAATATTGCACAATGTTGCAACAATATTTTATAATAAACCGTCCTCATGTTTTTTTTCAAATATGCAAAATACGACGCAATAAAAATACACAGTCCATGTTCCTTGATTTATCAAATATTTGCCATAAAATTAACATTGCCAAAATTATAAATACTGAAGTGGATTTTTTACGTAAATTAATTGTTTTTCAAATTAGATCTTCAAATAGGTCATGTTACATTTTTATATTAGTATGCGTTATTGGAATTCCGCGTGCTTTTTCTGGTCTTTAACCAGGGTAGTCAGCAATTCGATAATGGGCCAACGCTGCGACCACAACTTTTTAAAATCTCGATAATGTTTGTGTCATTGTTCGTCTCTATTTTCTGGCTTTTTTCGAGAGTTGATTTCGTGTTTATGGAATTGGATATAAAAATAATTAAATTTTCGCCAGCCCTAATGCGCTAAATGGGTGAGTTTTCGATGGGCTGAGTTTTAGATATGTTGTATGAGAGAACATTACGACTGTTTTGCACTGCTGTTTTGTTCTTCTCATTGGAGTAGAACTTAGTAATGTAAAACTGCGCTAAAGAAAATATTGTGCATTATGGACGTTTTGTAGGACAAACAGCAGAATGGTACCTTCACGAATATATTAATGCAAGATCATTTCCGTTCATTACTTCTATAATCAATCATTAATTGTTTGAACATCGAACACATTTATCACGTATATCTCACAGAGATCAGACTCGTATTAATATGCTTCTTCTCACCCGACAGTCCAAATATAATTAATAGCCAAGCCACTTGACTGCTTTCGCTCAAATGAATTTTCTGTGTACGTCAGGCCCAGCACGTATCCAGTATTTGTATCGCATGCGCTGTCATGTAAAGTTAGAAGACGGCGCGCCCTTTGTGCTAGATGGCACAAGGCTATGAAGGGGCATGCCTCCCCTAGCGATGCACAGTTTGGTCGAATTTTGAAACATGCGGACACATGTTCTGTATAGCATTTTCGTTTTTCTTTTTAAAAGCTTACTCCGCCCAATCTGCTGGGGCCTGCTCAGGGGTATGCCGGTTATGACTGACAGTACATTCTCCCATCACACAATTGGGGAACATGTTTAGTGCATAGATTATTATTTTTATTTTATTTTTATTAAAAAAAATTATCAAAAATAATGATTATGATGATGATGATGATGGAAAAGAACGAAAATGAAGGAAAGATCGCGCGCGGTTCTGTGGCTCATGAAGGAAGTTGCTCCATGATTCTCCTGAAGAAGTGTGATGGGAAACGCATGTTTAGAGATGTTTTTCGGCAGGCCGTCACACATCTCTGCATTCTTTAAGATTTTCCGGCCATCGAACAGATTCCTCGCACCTTTCCCCAGTTTCTACAACCGCAACCTCCCAATCACTGCTACATTCGAGCCGTTAGGCGTTTCATTTACGCTCGTTGCCACCAGTATCCGTAAAAATCAATGTTTTCAACGAAGGAAAATAGCTTATTAGAAACGTAGAGATGATTCTACGATTATCAAGATTAATAGATGTCTTCGTGTTTCCTCCGATCATTTCTACATAGATGCCAGAATTTTAAAGAGTGCACCGTGCAGCGCCATACGTCATACGTCATGTAAGTTTATCTCTAAATTAATAGCTAATTTAATGGTAGTACAAAGTGGGTGGTGTTGGAAATTAAAAATTAATGAACGAAATAAGTTTTTGAAAGAAATTAAGTTATAAATTAATGAACTGTAGGAAGGAAACAATTTTTCATTAAATTGAGGAATAAGAATTCAAACATTAGATGGGTTCCAGAACTTTCTGCACAAGAAAGAGCGAAAATAATTTGAAAAGAATGTATGGAAATATCATGTAGAACGGCTTATCTTTTTCGTGTTTTCTTGAGTCATAAATATTGAAACGTTAAAAAAATCAAAATCCTTGAATTTATTTGTAAACGAGCGGTTAAAGTTCTCCATGCCTTTGGGTCTTCTACGCAAAAAGAGCGAAATGAGTTTGGAAAAAATATATGGAACATGTCGCATAAAACTTTTTCCCGTTTTCTTGTAACATAAACATCGATTTTGTTTGGAAAATATTGGATAACTTGCGGTTTATTAAACTGTTTCCATGCGTCTTGACCTTCTGGACAAATAAGTACAAAACAATTTTTAAAAAGCTTGGAGCATGTTGTACAGAAAATCTACCTTCTCGAAATTTCTTGAATCATGAACATTGGATCGATTTGAAAAAATATTTATGATACGTGTGGTAAAAGTGACATTTTATTTTCGAGTAGGAAATGTTGCGACACTATGCCGATAGGTCGAGAGGTGCCACTTTACGAGCAAAATAAAATAACTTTTACCACCCTGTGTCACACACGATTTTTTAGTCAACCTGTCGTTTTCTTTTTAAACAAATATTCAAGGCCCTTAATGATACTTTAAGGTCAGTAGTATTGGATGCGGTCAAACTAAACTATTTTGCATTTGATTTCTTTGTGTCATTCACAGATTTATTTGAAAACTTGAGCAACAACTCACGTTTAACCCAGGTCCAACTTTTAACAATTAAACTTTTAGCTCTCACGGCATGCCCTGACTGTCTTTTACGAATCTACTGAACCCAATGACTCTGCAATAGCGTATGCACACGTGAATACCCGCGATTGTTTGCACCGCCTATTTAATTCAGCTGCAGCCGCTCATCCAGTACCAAATGGGTATTGCCATTCACCCAATGTCGCTGGTAGTTCGCCTCTCCCTTGAGATAATTTACATATGGACACCAAGTTCAATCTCAACCAAGTGTATCGTTCATCAAATTATAAATATCCAGAATCAATCGACAAATGTTACCTTCTCCGTTTCTGTGGAAATCTTGTTCCCTAATGTAGAACCATCGATTAGCTTGCTAACGTACCTTTCCCAAGGTGTCGCTAAACTTACAATATCCTGAAGACTCTACGATACGGGCTTTAAAAACAAAATGTTACTTCAATAATATCGGCCTACATTCTGGCGGCCATTTACTCGACAACTCGATCGACCCTACCTCAACGAAACTTACGACTGTAGTAACCGACGCTGGTGTTCTTTACTACGAATCCATACAACTCCTCCAACATTTTATATATTTAGGGATCGTAACACTGTCTAAAAAATGTTTTGTTTGCTTCTAGCGAGTTTCGAACCACTGTGCGCTGCAGAGCTTTGTGCAACGGAGGCCGCGGGCCCAACACAGCCTGCGTTCGTTACGCCGTTCCGCTACATTGCCTCTCGGCAACCCGCTGGGAATGTTGCCACGGAACGGCCCTGTACGAAAATTTACGGGCACATGCGGGAATTGCTTAACCGGCCTCGCGTTTTCTTTATCTTCGCCCCATCCCGCTGGTTTTTGCTCTTCCTGCTTCGTGGTTGTCTATTAATCGATGTGCTGCCGCGGTTTCAGTTTTCGCGGTACGAAATTTAATTTATGGGTTTTGGATTTTTTTTTACTGAGGTGGAAACATTTTTTGCTGACGTTTATGAAAGTGCGAAATATTACGTTCTTTAAGGAAATGACGTGAGGTTCTGGGAAATAATTATTCGATTGTTTCACATTCAGTTGTGGTTCTGTCTTTGAGAAACATAAGAATTTGCTCCTCCTTAATGTGTCCATAATTATTATGAAGCTTACTTCGACATTACATTTTGCTACATTGAAATCCAAGGTCAAGATGGAAATGCATTTGATAAGTAAATTATGTTTCTTGATAATGTATCTATTTCAAAGTTATTGCTTTTTCTTATTACTTTATTCTATTTATTTATTCTACTATTATCTTGTTTATGTTGTTTTGTCTAAGGAATTGAATGACATGCTTGAATATATTATTGAGGGACTTTTTTTGCGACAAAGTCTCCATTATAATTGAGATCTGGCGGCATTTCCTTATCGTCTAGCCTGTTTTAAATAATTTATTTCTTCTTCGACAATACAGTCTTTCAAGGGTACAGAATTCAGGGGTACACAAAGGGTATAGAACATTGATTATTAAATGATATTTTTGGATTGGCCATCCATAAAGTAAAGTGGTTTGTACTATTAATTAATGAATTAAATTAGATAGTTAATTAGAAAGAGGAAGGAAATGCTCATGCAAAGGAGCTGAAGGTGGTATGGTTTACAGGGATTTGAATCTGTCTTTGGGAAATTTTGATATTATACGTGGATAGAGGAGAGGTATGCAGATTAATATGGAAATTGTATGCTAATTTAGCTAGGTTTCTTCTGGTTTGGATATTTTTAATTATCTATGAATTTGTTCATTTGTAATGAACCAAGGAGAATTTAGAGTATTTCATAGAAATATATTTTGGATTACTTTAATTTTATTAATATTTCTAGGAGCTGCGGCTTTTCAGATTGGGCATCCATATGTTACAGTGAAAAGGAAAATTGATTTAAATCGTGTCTATCGACTTTCGATTTTCAACATAGAGTGCTGGTTTAGAAAGGGAAATAATTTTGAAAGTTTTACTCCTGATTTATTATGCAGAAATTATTTGCATAATTGCAATTACCCAGAAATTAATTGCTACTGCATTGATGAGCGGTTTTCATGTTAACCTTTTATCTAATAAAATGCGAAGGTATTTTATTGGTGAGGTAGCGTATTTTATTCTCGCACCTAGTATTGTTACCGCAATTGGATTTCGTACTCTCAATAGGGTGAACATTTTTGCTTTTTATCTGAGTTATTTTAATTTATCTGGGTTTATTTTCACTCCAATTTATGTACTCATCAAGATGATTTTGGACGTGATCTTTCAGAATTTGTAGAAAATAGGGCAGTATCATCCACATATAATTATATGTTGGATTTGCCGTGGATGGGTATAAATATGGATATACATGTTGAATGATGTGGGAGAGAGTACGGATGCTTGTGGTATTCGTGCAGCTAGGGGGAAAGATTCTGAAGCCGAGTTATTGATTTAAACGATAAATGTTTTGATACATATAAAACTTATAATAGGTCACTTTTTAATAAGTAACTTGAAATACGTAAAATATTAATATGAAACTTAATTTTTAGTAGGTATTCGTGGGTTCCCAATCGATGCGCTTTGTATATGAGTCCTGAGTGCCAGACTGTATTATAAGCCTGGCTCAGGTCTAGTAATACTGTTACTGATATTTCTTAGCGTAGAATCACTGAGCAATTGCTTGGGTGAATCATAGGAGTTGATGGGTGGAACAGTGAACAGTTCGGTTTGAAACCAAGCTGAACGGAATCACCTGGCCTGAGAGGATGTTAGTTGTTTCGATGACATGAATATTCCTAGACACATCAAATACAGTATCCTTTCGTGTATATTATGTTTTGAGCTTAATGTCCCTTTCACTATCCATTATTGGTTTTGTTGATTTTCTTCGTGACGTTATTATAAAAGTCAAGTTACCACTCACCATAAGTCATAAATTTCTTTTCATCTGTACAAATGTGCCACTTCGTCCAGATTACAAGGTTAATATTGTTATTATGTAGAACATTTTATCACACAGCCAATGCAACATCATTAAAAAATTATGTAAAAATAAAAATTATTCAAAAACGGCTGCAGTTAATATTTTATATCATACTCAAATTAGATAACGCCATGCCCTTCCACCTTCAACAGTTCAGTCACTGTCACATTGTCACATTTATCGAAAGGAAATGAATTAGTTCCTATTAAAAGCAATCGAGCCAGAGTAACATTTATGACGCGGGTAACGAGAGAATGAAGACGTCAAGTGTTCGCGCGGCATTTGCCCATCGCTCGGAAAGGCACGTGACGTCGCCACCCAGCCTCCATTCGCGGACGCCCATTTGAGGGCGGCTTAGACAGCTCAGCAGGCTTAGGTGGTTCAGGAGGCCGAGACCAACGCCGTTACGGTGG